TGTTGGATAATAAATCATAACCTCTCAGGTTTGCTTTGAACCATGAGGACAGATGGACTCTTTGTATTCAGTAATCATATTGTTTCATTTCAGCTACAGCAGAACCGTCTGTACAGTTTTGATATTTTTTAATGATTCTAGAAATAACTTGACAGAAAAACTGATGAAATGATCTTTTTATGGTGTTGCTTCCCTGAAAACCTGGAGAACAGGAAGTAAACTTTCTCTGTTTCCTGTTATTAACAGTCAAATACAAGTTATTAAGAGCTAAACTCTGGTTATAACCAGTTGGTTACCAGACGGATTCAGAACCAGAACCGGTCCTGACTCGGTCCTTCATCGGGTTCAGACCTGCTGATAATCTGAGATTTTAATTTGATTCTCTCTTCGTTAGTTTGACCTCCTGACCTTTACCCTTTCACCCCGTCTCTGTTCATGACTCCGGGTCAGTTTCCTCTGCGGTTCTGATCCGATTTCACTTTCTGCCAGTAATCAGGTTTTTGAACTTTAACCTTCTGCTATCAGTGGAGTTATCTCTGTTTTTTGATTAATTATGAAGATAAAAACTCATAAAATCTAATGTAGCTCCTTATTTTCTGAAGACTTTATGTTGGACTCGTGTTCTGGTCTGGATCAGTTGGTTCTGGTCGGTTCTGATCCGATGGTAGAAGAACCTCCTCCTGATATCTAATGAACCTGAACACCAAACTTCCTGTTAGGAGGAATTCATTAATATTTACTGCATTTAGTTTCCATCTCTGTTTTCCTTCCTGATTTAGTGTTTCTCTTCAGAACCGGTTCTGGATGATCCGGTTCTGGATGATCCGGTTCTGGATGATCATCCGGTTAACATGAAGCCCAGAAATTAACCGGTTATTAAATCTGATCATGAATATTTTTAAAATGACTTTTTGCTTGGTGTCATGAATGAGATCATTGAAAATAGTGAAGTCATCTAATAACGATCCCTCATCTGATTGGTCGACCCGGTTCTAATCAGAACCGGTCAGAACCAGGTGATCAGAACCAAACATGTAATAAAAACAAAAAGTTTTTGTCCGTTTTAAAATCCTGCTCTCTGGTTCTGATGGTTCTGATCTGCTCTACTACTGGACCTTTAACCTGAACCCAGCAGGTCGGTTCAGGCTGGTTCTGACCCGACCTTCCTTCTTCTTCTTCTTCTCTGTCTGCAGCGCCACCATGAGGTCTGTGGGAGGCCCTTCCTCGCCCGTCTCCTCTTCCTCAGAGGAAGCTCCGCCCCCGTTCTTCTCCATCACCAGCCGGCGGCTCCAGGACGAGTTCCTGAAAGGTGAGTACCGGACCGGACCGGACCGGAACCAGAACCTCCGTCCTGGCCCTGACCTCCGTCTCCTTCCTTCCAGAGCGCCTGAGGAGGCTGGAGTCCCAGAGCGACGCCTCCTCCCCGCTAAGCTCCTCCCCCTCCTCCTCCTGCTCCCCCCGAAGCCCCGCCTCCCCCGCTGCCTCCCCCCTCC